TATTACCTTCACAGAAAGATTCTCTACCATTTCATAAGAAAAAATAACAAATTTTTTTTTGGAAAATTCTTGGACACTGGGGCACCACTTCAGATTTTGGCCTTGGACCCTGAAGGGGTTAATATTGTTTATTATGTCATATTAGATGAATTGTGGTAGATAAATAAGCTGTAGAGTTGATATTAGTGTCATATTGAAGGACTGTCTTATCCTATCTCCTAACAAACTCTGCCACCACCACAATTCCTAACATATGCAATGACATATTTTAACCCTTTGACTGTCGCAACCCCCAATCCTGAGGTCCTGGTGTTGCAAATTTAAAAAAAAAAAATTATTTTTTCTTATGAAATGATAGAGAATCTTTTCCCGATTGTAATGACACCAAAAAAAACGAAATTTGATGGAAAACTGACGGAATTACGCTCTCGCGAAGTTAGCGACCTCGGCGCTGTTTACAAATCGGCGATTTCGCCCACTTTGAGCCCTATTTTCGGCTAATTCCATTGTTCCAGTCAACCAAACTCATAGCTATTTCTTTAGAACTCCATTTTTTCTATCGATTGAGTAAAAGAAACTGCCCATTTACCAATTTCAACTACCTAATAATGTGGTCAGAAATTTGCAATTTGGCCAATTTCACGAAAACTAAAAAATATGACAATTTCAAAATAAGGTCCAGAATGAACAATGCAGACATTTCTGGCTCTAAAATAACATTTTCTTTGTTCATCAGTCATGTCTCCAGGCCCCTCTGATATTACTCTTGCTTCCTATTTTCAATTTTTATTCAAACAAAAAATTGAAGACTTACTATTATGCAGACTACTGCAATACTGTAATAATTGTATAAATAACATCAACGCATTCATGACTGCATATTAGAATGGCTAGTTGGACATTTATTGGACAATGGCATCATTTGTTTACTTTTGAACATAGGCAAAAATCAAACATTTCCCCTACTTTGAGCTCAATTTCTAGATTCTTTTTATAGTAAAATCAATCAAAATCACCTCTATTTCTATAATATGTTTTCCATTCTATCAAATGAGACCAAGAAAACGAGAATATAACCATAAATACTATACGAAAATAGACCACAAAATCGGCATTTTAATTAAAAAAAAACGGTCGGAGTTTTTTTTTTTCCCATTATGCACTGCATGCTCCAGGATTTTTTTTATATGGTGCACACTGACCACACAGACCCATTCTCTCACATGTGGGCCTACCAGCTTTCTCCTGCTTGATTTGAAGCCGCTAGAATTTATGAGTATATATACGTCAAACACGGTACCTCGTAAGACGTATATATATGGCCGCGACAGTCAAAGGGTTAAATATGATTGGGCAGCTGGGAATTTGTGATTGTTCAAAGCCCACGAAAGTGGAAAGAGCGAATGTTGAGGGAGACCTATATAGAATGGCAAATTTTCTGTCATCCATTCAGTTGTCCAAACCATATTTTATCTTCAGTGTTGTTTTTTGCAACTAGTACAGTTCAGATTGTGTTTAGTGTTATGGATAGCTAGCATTTTGCCACAAGTATGCTTTTACTGTACTTGTGAATAGTGGCAAAAAAAAAAAAAAAAAAAAAAAAACTGTGTGCCTGGAGAATGGGGTAAGGGTAATTAACCCTAAAATTGCCAAAGGCTGTAAAATAAATGTTACCTCATTGCTTGCTATTTTGAAAAAAATTATTTTATTGTACAGAAAAGTGTTTCCCAGATTTTAGAGGTGTAGTAAGCCAAGAATAAGTGAAATCTGATTGTTACTTGCAGAAATACAAAAGTTTAGCCCTTTGAGGGTCCGTGCCAAAGTTCGACGGCTTTGAAGCTAGTGTCAGTGTTGTAGTTCTACGCCATGATCTCGGATTACTCAGATAAACTTCGAACTGTAAATTTGGGCCTAGATATAAGAGAATGGGTCTGTGCAGTAAGTGTGCACTACATAAAACAAATCCTGCAGCATGCAGTGCATAATGAGAAAAAACTGCGTCTGTGTTTTTGGTTTAAAACAGCAACTTTGCGGTGTATTTTCGTATGGTTTTTATGGTGTTAGTCATGGTTTCTTGGTCTAATTTCATAGAATGGAAGATATATTACAGAAATAGGGATGATTTTGATGGGTTTTAGGACTGAAAATAGCTCGAAATTGAGCTCAAAGTAGCAGAAATGTTTGGTTTTTGCTGATGTTCAAGAGTGAACATGTCACATCATGCATTCAATATATGTCAACTGTTGGGTCTAATATGTGTTCACAAATGCGCTGATATTATTTATATAATTATTACAGTATTGCATAACAGTAAATCTTCTATTTTTTGCATGAATAAAAGTTCTTTGTGAATAAAAAAATCAAAATGGAATTTGTATGTAAAGCTTGGAAACATAACTAATGTTATTTTAGTGCCAGGAATGCCTGCTTTGTTTTTTCTGGACACTTTTGAAATTGGCATACTATATTGAAATTTTTGTGAAATTGGTCAAATTACCAAATTCTTATCACTTTATTGGGTAGTTGAAATAGTTGATATGGTAATTTCTTGTACTTAATCAATAAAATTGAACACGTAATAGTGAAATATCTAAGAATTTGGTCTACTGGAACAGTGTAATTGGCCTAAATTGCAAAATCGCAGATGCGTAAGTATTGCTGACAGCAAAATTTGTGAAAGTGTGATTTTGTCATTTTTGCATCAAATTTTGTACTTTTTGTTTTATAACCTTCAGAAAAAGATTCTCTACCTTTTTATAAGGAAAAAAAAAAGAGATAAAGTTAACATTTATGATCAGTTTATGGTAACATGAGTGTTGTCTGTGTGATGGAAGTTGTTGTTCTCTAATGATTTTTTTTCCAGTTTTTCTAATTATTTTTTATGAATCAGTAATATCAATATTTTCCTATTTCACTTGCATATATTGTTCAATCATACTAAACGAATGTAAATGACATTGACTGGCTCCCACAGTGCCCTGCACACAACACAATTTGTTTTTTTTTATACCTCACATACTTACAGCGTAGACTTTCTCTCTGATGTAGTCCTAACCAGGCCAGTCGGGACCGTTTTGCAGGCTCGAGAATTTTTAAATAAATTTATGTTATCAGCTGCCTAATGGTTAATGTTAAAAGTGGATCGTTGGGTGACTGTTAAGTTTTTTTTTTTTTTTAGACATGTGTTAGATTGGGTGATTGTAAGTTTTTTTTTTTTTTTTCCCCTTTATGTGTAGATCCCAGTGTTAATACAAGAAGCATATTAATATCAACTTGATAATGGTAGACCTACTTAGAATTGTTAGCCAATTTCCATAAAAGATTTTTAATGAACAGCTGATAATTATTAAGCTTTATGCAGTAATTTATTTGTGCATTACCTGGTGTTTGTCTTCATGTTAAATAATTTGTAAGCATATAAAACTTCTAACAAAATTTGGGCATTATAGCCTCTTGCTGATATTTTGGAAACTTTTCCTTTGGACCACTTAATTTCATTTATGTCAAAATAATGAAACTGGGAAATTTCACAGCCATACATGGAGTTTTTACTGTATATATATTACGTTGAGATTTGGTCACTCTGATGCCAGATTTAAGAAGTACTAGTGTGAGTAGTGCTAGTTAAGGTGTAGCTGTGCATTCCTTCATGAGTTACAGAGTATTGTGCTGGATTTTGCTTCCCCACTTCAACAGATGGCTAGGAGCACTGGCAGTTCAATCTGAAATGCAAGTTAATCAGCTAAAAGTTGGCAAAAATTTTTTTTTTTGGCAGTTACCAAAAACTGTTGCACTTGAATGATTTAAGACTGTTGAGGGGCAACTGAAATATCAGTTACAATAAATATATATACATGAATGGTGTTTTTCTTTCTGCAATGGTTTTTGTATTTGGCTAGCATCCTTATTGGAGGATTAAGGAGGAAATGTGACTTGTTGTCTTCCTTTAGGCTATGATAATGTCTCAGGCTGTGATAATGTCCACATTGTCCTAACCAATAAGAGTGGACAACGTTACCTGTCCTGCTGGACTACTACACTTTCCAAATACTACAAAACAAATTATGTTAAAATTCAGTATTTTTTATACCTGAAACTGTGATAACAGATTTCTTTGTACTTTTTCCTATTTATAAGTACAGCTTTGAGGAATAGCTCACATTACAAAGCCTTTTATATTTTTGCTATATATAACCTAATTTTTTTGTTTCATTCATTCATTTTCCTTTTATTTCTCAGAGTCCACAAGAAATATTAACATAGGGGTAACATAACATAGCAGTAGCAACAACAGTAATAATAATAAAAATCATAATAATAATGTTTTATTGTACAAAGGAATATGAAAGTTAAGTGTACATGCCAAAAAGCCCCTTGTATGCAGAGCATTTTGGTCAGACTTAAAATTAACTTAAGATTAATTAGGCTATGACAGATTAAATGGTCATTAGGTAAGTTACAGTGAGTACAGAACCTAGAGTATTAATAGGAAATGCTGTGTGGTTTTAATAGGTCTAGTAGTAATAGGAGCTGCAGTTTTTATTGTAGATTGTTGTATTTATACTGGAGAAGGAAGTATAACTGTGATATTCAGCAATGAAGGCTATTTGGACTCCTATTATAGGTAAAACTTGTATTTTTTAATTATTTGAGACCACATAGTTTTTGAGAACTAATTAACAGACTTTTATCACTAATAATTCATGAATTAATTATATAGAAATTTCAATGATGTATATACTGTACATGACATTTTGCATCACAGTTAGTGTCTGAGTATTAATTATTGTTAAATTTTCAGTGGCATTGCAAAAATCAGTGATCTCTGAAAATAATAATAAAAATACATTATATTTTCTAGAGATTTTGGGTTTTGATATGCAAATGATGAACACAAAATGGTTAGTCGCTCAGATTATTTTCTTAAGTAGTTTTTTAAGTGCGAAAAGTGTACAGAAATATTTCAGAAACTGTACAGTAGATTTTTCTGAAATTTTCAGGGATGAAGGACTTTGGTACCTAGATGATGTACGGTAAGTAAATAGTTGCTCTGATCTTTTATATTTTTGTATCATTTTGTTTCAGTAAAAGTAGGGGTTAATGATAAATATTGTTTTTAGATTTTTCTTGAATATTTGGGCTGAAATGTCTTATTTTTATAATCACTGAGGAAGTACATGTAATTACCGAATGTTCTCGGCCATAAATCATGGGGTAGACTTTTTAATTAAAAAAAACTTCTTAGGCTTGTCCATAAGATGAGTTGGTGGTTGTTTATTATAAAATTCTTTTAAAGTGATTATTAACCCTTTCAGGGTTGGTGCTGTACTAGTACGGCTTGTACGCTAGGGTTGGTGCCGTACTAGTACGGCTTGTACGCTAGGGTTGGTGCCGTACTAGTACGCATAAATTCTAGCGCCTTCAAATCTAGTGAGAGAAAGCTGGTAGGCCTACATATGAAAGAGTGGGTCTATGTGGTCAGTGTGCACAGTATGAAAAAAATCCTGCAGCACAGTGCGTAATGAGAAAAAAAAACTGTGACTGTGTTTTTGGTTTAAAACAGCAACTTTGCAGTGTATTTTCATGTGCTATTTATGGTTGTATTCTAGTTTTCTTGGTCTCATTTTATAGAATGGAAGACATATTACAGAAATTGAGATGATTTTGATTGCTTTCACAATGAAAAGTACCTTGAAATTGAGCTCAGAGTAGCAGAAATATTTGAGTTTTGCCTAAGTTCAAAAGTAAACAAATCAGGCCACGCGTCCAATACACGCCAACTGGTGAGTCTAATATTCTTTCACAAGTGCACTAATATTATTTATACCATTTCTACACTAATGTAGTAGTCTGCATAACCATAAATCTTTTTTTTTTTTTCTTTTTTCTTTTTGAGGATAAAAATTCAAAGTGGAAAGCAAAAGAAATGTAAGAGAGGTTTGAGGACATGATTGATAAACAGAAAAAAAATGTTATTTTAGTGCCAGGAATGTCTGTCTTGTTTATTCTGGACCCTATTTGGAAATTGGCATCTTTTGAAATTTGTGTGAAATTGGTAAAATTGCCAATGTCTGACCACTTTATTGGATAGTTGAAGTCGGTAAATGGGTGGTTTCTTGTACTCATTTGATAGAAAAAATGGAGTTCTAGCAAAATAGTTATGAATTTTGTCGGCTGGTACATTGCAATTGGCCGAAAATAGGGCTCAAATTGGGTGAAATAGCCGATGCATAAACATTGTCCAGACCGCTAACTTTGCGAGAGCGTAATTCCGTAAGTTTTCCATCAAATTTCATACTTTTGGTGTCTTTATGGTCGGGAAAAGATTATTATTTCATAAGAATTTTTGTATTTTTTTTACTGGTAATAATAATTACTAAATAGCATAAATGTGTACTGGAATAGTAATTACTAAATAGCATAAATGTGTACTGGAACAGTAATTACTAAATAGCATAAATGTGTACTGGAATAGTAATTAGTAGATAACATAAATGTGTACTGGAACAGTAATTACTAAATAGCATAAATGTATACTGGAACAGTAATTACCAAATAAAATAAATGAACTGGTACTTAACCCTTTCAGGGTCTGTCCCATAGATCTAAGGGCTCAAAGCCAGAGTTCAAGCCATAGCTCTGCGCAATGAGCTCAGCTTGCTCAGATAAGCTGCTGTGAGCGGTAAATTTGGGCATAGATATGAGAGAATACATCTATGTGGTAAGGGTGCACCACATAATACAAATCCTGCACCATGCAGTGCATAATGAAAGAAGAAAAACTGCGACCGTAATTTTCTGTTAAAACAGCAACTTTGCAGTGTTTTTTCGTATGTTTTTTGCAGTTGTATTCATGATTTCGTGGGCTCATTGATAGAATAGGAGGTATATTACAGAAATAGAGATGATTTTGATTGGTTTTATTAATGAAAATGGCTTGAAACTGACCTCAAAATAGTGGAAATGCTGACTTTTTGTGGATGTTTCAGAGTAAACAAATGATGTCACATGTCTAATACGCATCAGCGGGTGGGTCTAATATACGTTCATAAATGTGGTGATATCATTTATACAATTATTACAATATTGCATAACAGTAAATCTTTCATTTTTTTGTGTGAATAAAAATTCATTATGTGAATAAAAAATCAAAATGGAATTAATTTGTAAAGCCTGAAAACATAACTAATGAACAGAGGAAATATTAATTTAGTGCCAGGAATGCCTACATTGTTTATTCTGAACCCTATTTTGAAATTGGAATATTTTTGAACTTTGTGTTAAATTGGCCAAATTACCAAATTCCAGTCTCTTTATTGGGTAGCTGAAACAGTTGACTGGACCATTTCTTGTGCTCAGTCAATAAAATAGAAGTAATACTAGCGAAATAGCTAAGAATTTGGTCGGCTGGAATAATGTAATTGGCGTAAAATGAGAGTCAAATTTGGCAAATTCGCTGATGCGTAAATGTCACTGATATATCAGAATTCGCAAGAGGGTAATTTCGTAAATTTCCCATCAGATTTCATAGTTTTTGTTTTATTACCTTCAGAAAAAGATTCTCCACCATGTCATAGGTAAAAATCTCTCTTTTTTTTTTTTTTTTTTTTTTTTTTTTTTTTTTTTTTTTTTAAATTCTTGGACCCTGGTTGTCTCTCTTGAGATTTGGCCTCTGGACCCTCAAAGGGCTAAAGCCTCCAATAAACGTAGTGATATCTTCCTAATGAGTGTCACTTTTTAACCCTTTCAGGGTCGAGAGGTCCTCTCCTAAACTTGTTCTCAGGGTTGAAAATTTGTTGAGAAAAATAGACATTATTTTTCCTTATGAAATGATAGAGAATCTTTTCCTGATCATAATGACACCAAAAGTTTGAAATTTGAAGGAAAACTTACGGAATTATGCTCTTGCGAAGTTAGTGGTCTTGACGATGTTTACGCATCGGCGATTTCGCCCACTTTGCCCTATTTTTGGCTAATTCCAATCTACCAGTCGACAAAAATCACAACTATTTCACTTGAATTCTATTTTTATTATTGAATGAAAACAAGAAACCACTTATTTACCGATTTCAACTATCTAATAAAGTGATCAGAAATTGGCAATTTTGCCATTTTCACAGAAATTTCAAAAGACGCCATTTTCCAAATAGGGTCCAGAATAAACAAGACAGACATTCCTGGCACTAAAATAACATTTCTTCTGTTCATTAGTCACGTCCCCAGGCCTCTCTTACATTTCTTTTGCTTTCCACTTTGAATTGTTATTCTCACAAAAAATAGAAGATTTACTGTTATGCAGACTACTGCATTAGTGTAGAAATGGTATAAATAATATCCGGCACTTGTGAAAGAATATTAGACTCACCAGTTGACGTGTATTGGACACATGGCATGATTTGTTTACTTTTGAACACTGGCAAAAAATCGAACATTTCTGCTACTTTGAGCTCAATTTCAAGGTACTTTTCATTGTGAAACCAATCAAAATCATCTCAATTTCTGTAATGTGTCTTCCATTCTGTAAAATGAGACCAGGAAATCTAGAATACAACCATAAATAGCATACATAAATACACTACAAAGTCGCTGTTTTAAAGCAAAAACGCGGTTGAAGTTTGTTTTTTTTTCTCTCATTATGCACTGTGTGCTGCAGGATTTTTTTTTATACTGTGCACACTGACCACATAGACCCATTCTTTCATATGTAGGCCTACCAGCTTTCTCTCACTAGATTTGAAGGCGCTAGAATTTACGCGTATTACTTCGGCACCAACCCTAACATGCAAGCCATACTAGTACAACACCGACCGTGAAAGGGTTAATTTAATTTTTTCAGAAAATATTGAGATTAGCTCCAGTACTTGAAAATATTGTCTGGTTCCAAAACCTAACTAAAATTCATCCACAAATTACTCTGCTTAACGTGTTTCCTACTTGTTCCATAATTAAATCAAAGCAAAGGTTCACAAGTTTGTGAAAAAATGGTGCTGTAGTGTAGCTAATGTTTGTGGGTGATATCAAATGTTGTGTGGCATGTCATACCTTGCTGCTGGCAGACAAATTTCTCCTTCAAACACTCTAAAAAATATTTTACTGGTGTTTTAGAGCATATTTGTAATTTAATATTGATAAATAGACATTTATTAGACAACAAGTCTTGTATTAATGTATATTGTACTCTGTTATGCAATAAGTACCAATGCATATTCACTTTACAGAAGACAGTGTATATAAATACAGTATATTTTCTCTGATTTTTTGTGCATATTCCATGACACACAATTTTAAGGCATTGTTTCATACACTGCAAGTTTTCTCTCCAAATAATTTCAGAATGTAGCCCAGTGTTTGAAAACATGTTCAAAAAATAGGATGAACAGGCTGCTTTAAAATTTTCATACAGCACACAGAAGAAACTTTTGTTGACATAAAATAATGTGTACTATACAACACTGGTATCAGCACAGTAATCATTCTTATGAGGTTTTAGTAAAACTTGTAAGAATATTAATCATTATTAAAAAAAAGTTACTTAACAATTTAATGAAATCTTTAATAAAAATCAGAGTAATTTTTTACCATAGCATAAAGTCATTGACTAGGAGACTAAGGTCGACTTGTGGCCGAGCATGTACGGTAGTTGATGCATTTTATTATATTCATATATCACAAAAATTATAGCTTTCAGGCAAAGATGTGTAGAGCTTTGAGTGTTCATTCTCATGGTGTTAGATAATGTATAACAAGTACAATAAAAGTTGCAGCTTCCAGAGCACATAAGTAATGTTTCCATAGTAAGGTTGAACTTGGTATTCAAGTTAAATTTTAACTTTCTAAACTACATGTTGTAAGTTAAATATTACTTGTATATAAATATTAGTGCAAACTGTATGAATAAAACTTATGAGCTGTGATAGGTGTCAGTGATATTTGATTTGCTAAACATTATGTAACAATATAACATATGAATATGAGAACAGGTTGCACTTTTTTGTATAATTGCTTGAGTAAGGTCTTTAGTGTGTAGATGATG